CATGACTTCCACCAGACTACTTCCCTTATGACCTCCACTGTCCTTTTCCCTATTTCTTCTGTACCGGTTCACCGTTTATCGCTTATCTAACTACTCATACAGAAGTCGCTTGTTCTCATCGCTGCTCATTTGATAAAAACAGTAAAGAGCGAGAGAATGGAACGTGGCAAGCTGAAAATTACCATGGACTGAGATTGTAAAGATGATGAGTAGATGCACGAGCACCACTGTTTCCGAAATGTGGACATTTGACGCAGTGATATGGGTCCTGGATCCCCACCTAGGGACCCTAACGGGACATATGTGACCCAGTCACCAGGTTGGGATTTTTATACCCTCGTGACAGGTATCAGTTTGACTGTCCTTGACAAACTTCCAACCGCTGTCTGCCTCGCGAACATCGCACGCCGTGGCAACCTAACTGATGACATGCGCAATACATGTCCCATCCGGCGTGGTCTATAGAGGTCGATCAATTGTTCCAGTGGACGACTCATTCCTTCGATCTGAGATCAGGAGTAAGACAAGGATGTCCGCTAACGCCAGTGCCGTTCAACTTCGCTGTTGATTGCATTCTGCGTCGGGCAATGGGGGGTTACCAAGGCGTCCAAGTTTCCGCGGATTGCTGGATTACTGACCTCAAATTCGCCAACAATCTAGTTTTATCCTGTTTCAGTAAGGGCCTATTTTCTGCACCGTATAGCAGAACTGGCCGAATTGCTGCAGCACACTCAACCCTTTACATACAACTGTCTGTCAAAACGGCACCAAAGATGTGTCAAGTTAACAAATGCCAGCTGACACCTAGCCCACGATGCGTCTGTCAAGTGAGATAGAAGGAATGTCTTCGCGAGCGCTCAGCAAGGCAACCGAGGTCAGGAAGACTCACCGTTTTTGTTTTATGGTGCGGCGGAATTCGCCGACTGACATTGGGATCGCTCCCTGATTACTGTCCGGTATCCACTCAGTCTTTCGGCTGATGGTAAAACTGAAAGGCGAACAGAGACTTGCGTTTCCAACGCCGATTTATAATTATCGCTGACATAGCATTATGGAAATCCGTTTTTCTGTGGTCCTTTTTATAAAACGGTGTTCATTGGTGGGATATAGCCGAAATAGAGTAAACAAACACCGCGCTTTGCAGGTATTGACTAAACTCGTGCAACGCCCTGATTTTCAACACATTCGTTCCTCCCAGCGCTTAGTGTCGCAATCCTCAATACCGAGATTCAATATTATATTGTTCCACATCAGACGCATACATTAATGTCTCTGCTTCTATTGGTCGAATTGCATTGAAATGTATGATATCTCGCTTTGGACGATGGTTTCTGGTGCATCGGTTGTAAAATAACGAAGCCACAGTAAGAAAAATACTAAAATTTACTTACAACATGACTCATTGACCTGACACAGGTGTCTCACCATCATCTTGTCTATGTTCTATTTGCCTTTCTTCATTTTGAGTATTGGAGGCAGTCGCCCATGCACGGAGTTCACCAAGTTGACTGTCCAGCAGAATCTGCCAGTTTTCTCCAATACATGCTGCAACTTAACCACTGACGAGCACTGTCGAGGCAGCTACTTACTGCTTTTAACACGGAAGTTTTCGATTACGTTCAAATCCCAACTATTGAGCGGTAATTAAGTGAATTCGACATTTACCTTGACCCCTCCGGAAACTGCATAAATGTGAAAAAAATATTCAACGAGGTCTAACCCCATGCGAGGAGATATACCAACCCTTACTTGTGAAAAAATGACTTCCGTGAATGCATTTTGAGGGTGACAGTTATCGAAAAAACCCTTATCAGTACAACAAACCTTGTTCTATCCAGATTCTTATGTACAGGATCTTCCGTTCCGAATCGTTACGTGGGATGGATGTTAACTTCTCTTGGAAGTCGAAAGGAAATTCACTGGAAACCTAGGCCGGTCGATAAGCTTCGTCGCTTGCCGAATTGCTCGTTGAGCACCCATTGCCAAATGAACACTACGAGACGCTTTTTCAATGAGCCGCACAACTCAAGGAGAACTTATGTGTTTCTTGGATTACATTTTCAGTTTATTCAGTATTAGGGATAAAGATGCAATAGTACTTTGTAGCAGCACAATTTACCAATTTAGTCAAGCTAGAAAATTTTCACTATTTGGTTTATTTACTGTACATTGAATGAAAAGAGATAGGCTATTTAAAATACGTGTATTCAACTCAGCAATACCTCGCATGAAACAGGAATCATTTATTAGAAGGAAGGAATTTCCACGAAGTTTCGCATAAATATTTTCTAAATCTGAGCTATAACTTTCGAACTACTGCAAATTTTAGCGCGACACTCAAGGTTGCTAAAATTCAAACAGTTTCTGAAGAGAAGTAGGAACATGGAAGTGGAAGATAACGCTCGTAATGAATAAACTTCACCCATAGTCCTTAATACACAAGTATGATATTGGAAACTGGAATGTATTAGCGAAATGGGAATCACGTTGCATGAGTACGGTCAACAGCTGTATGCGTTAATCCTTGGTTAAAGATAAAATGCTTATGGAATCTGGCAAAACTAGCAAACAACGCATTCAACAGTCGAGGTATATAGTACAGTAGAATAATGCTTGCACGAACAGTGCCATCAGATAGACGTACCGCATCGAGCATCCGCTCGAATGTTCCATTCGCATTCGCCATGCTGCGCATAGGTGCACAAGGAAACATATTTGCTAGGTTGTAATGGTTGGAAAGCACGCGTTGCAATGCTTCAGTCAAGACTCGAAACCGAGCGTACAAATATGGTGGCATGAAAAGGAGTACCAGTTGTGATGCCAATTTTAAATCGTTACTCCGAGTAGATGGCCACTCAAACAAGTGCACGTCCCGTCTGGGATTGGTGATGTGCAGACCACGAGAACACCGTCTGTCTACTGATTCATTCTCAACTGCTGTTCGTGGGTCAGTAACCGTATGGTTCCGGTGTGTTCGAATTTCGGTGTGCAGCATCATCGAGCCAAGATCACGTGTTAGGTTGCTGGGTACATCGAAAGAAAAACGGAAACTTGAAAAAAGGAATCCTGACAAACGTAGACATTTACACTTTACTTGCTTATTTGAGGAAAGTAATATTGTTTGTGACGGAAAAGCAACAAATATCCGGTTCGAAAAAACATTTCGTATGTGCACAATTGTTGTGAGGTACCATATTATTATTATATTTCACACCCGTCTGAGGCCAGACTGAATGGCAAGCAAATCATGGTACAATAATCTTTATCAAAAG